TACAGCCTGTGTCCTCTAGTCTCTACAGCCTGCGTCCTCTAGTCTCTACAGCCTGCGTCCTCTAGTCTCTACAGCCTGTGGTCCTCTAGTCTCTACAGCCTGCGTCCTCTAGTCTCTACAGCCTGTGTCCTCTAGTCTCTACAGCCTGTGTCCTCTAGTCTCTACAGCCTGTGTCCTCTAGTCTCTACAGCCTGTGTCCTCTAGTCTCTACAGCCTGTGTCCTCTAGTCTCTACAGCCTGTGTCCTCTAGTCTCTACAGCCTGCGTCCTCTAGTCTCTACAGCCTGTGTCCTCTAGTCTCTACAGCCTGTGTCCTCTAGTCTCTACAGCGCTGCTTAACACCAGGGCTTCGACTTCAAAATTCGAATATAATTCTAAATGCGCTGGTAATAGGCTCCTCGATTGTTAGAGGTGTTAAGATCCCAGGAGCCACTGTTCGGTGCTTCCTGGGGCCAGGCTTTGGGTGATATTGAAGGGAATCTGAGGCCTCATGATGACCCCACAAGCAGCGTTTCCGTCGAATTGTTTAATCACGCGGGTGGTAATGACTTCGCGAACAGTCCGAGTGTTGAAGCTGCAAGATCGCCGCCGTGTGCAAGCTGGCTAGCACAATGGCCGACACTGTCATCTTCTCTGGGCCCCTACCTAAGCACTAGCAGTGCAGAAGCATTCAGCAGACACTCGCTTTCAACCGCTTCTGTCTGCTGGTGCCCTCCAAGGTTGTTGTTCATGTTTGACAATTGGAGTGCCTTTATGGGGAAAGCCCGTCTCATCCGCTCGGATGAAATCCACCCTGGGGCGGCAGTAGCTCAGTTGGTAGAGCTTTGGCCTTTGAGCCAGAAGGTCGTGGGTTCAAGCCCCGCTCAAGACTTTCACCATCGAACTCCCACTGTCTACTGTCGTTGTGTCCTTGGCAAGACACTTAACCTCTGGGAACACCAGCCACAGTGGGGCGGCTGCGGCTGTAAAGTGCCAAACTGCCGTTGTGTCCTTAGGCAAGACACTTCACCCCCATTGCCTAGAATGAGTCTGGTGTGTGTGTGAATGGTTGGTGGTGGTCGGAGGGGCCGATGGCGCATACTGGTTGCCTCGCTTCTGTCAGTGTGCCCCAGGGCAGCTGTGGCTACTGTAGTAGTTTATCACCACCGTGTATGGAGTGAATGAATAATGACACATGTGAAGCGTCTTTGAGTGTCCAGAAAAGCGCTATATAAAACCGATGCATTATTATTATTATTATTATAATGACACTACAATGATTCTGCTGAAGTTCCCAGACACAGTAGTCCAGTTAGTTTACTGAGTGCAGGGTGCGCTCTTTTCCTGCTGTCCTGAGTCACTGCTACTATCAGTTTATGTGGTGAGGATACCTAATGCTATTGTTCTGTCAGGTTCACTTCTAAACTTTAGATTTACTGGCGTGATTCTTGGTATTTGAGACTTGTAAATATGTGATAATTATGTGTATTTTTAACACTGCTCTTTTAAACCTTTCTTTTTTTTAATTCTTACCTATTGATCCTGTTCTGGCATGTGAGTTCTTAAGGCTGCAGGCCAGTGCTCTATGAGAAGAATGTCTATGTGCAACAGGAGCACATGTATAATCTTCACACCAAATAACCACAATTTGGGAGTCTGCACCGTTTGACTAACACAGCTGCAGAGTCGTGGCTGCTGCTTTTTCTGTGAGGTCTATAGAGAAGTGTAGAGGACAGCGTTATGTGTTCACTGACACTAATCATCAGACCGATGGGCTGTGTTTGTACGTTTACTCTGCACTCTGTCCTACTACATTATAGACGTGTTGCAGTAGCTGTTACTATTTGTCGGCTTGCGCGTATGTTAGTATTTGGGGCGTTCACAGGCAGTCCGTACAAAAAGTATTGTCATGACAGAAAGTGCGGTAGAGCAGTAAAATCCACATGTAACAGCTACGTGATTGTGCTCATGGTACCTGTGGCTGTTGTGGTCAGTCGTGAGACTTTATGAACTGCGTGAAGCGGCGGTGCGCATGGCCGTTATGTCTGATGTGTGAATATTTAATTATTTTCTGCCTGCTAAAATGTCATGTTAAACAGAGTTCACTTGTACTTTGACCTGCTTACAGAAGCATGGAAACAGATAAGACAGAACAAACAGTAAACATGTGCAGTATGGATGGTGTACGTTGGAGTTTGCTCCATTACAAAACAGTTATATCACAGTTGTACGTTGAAACCATACGTTTACTGCATAGTCATGCTTCTCAGAATCTATGCTTACATAATCATTTACAATGTATATAAGGGGTTAGCCTTTGCCTGCCCACTAGACTTCTGAGGCCAGACAGGATGGGAGGCTGCGTTATGCTTGATCAGAATACGCTCAAACCTTCTGACAATAAAACTATTGAACTACGCAGTTCGTCCAAGTCTCATTTTTTGTCTTACGTCTGGGATCTTTCACAATTTGGTGACCCCGACGTGATACAAAAGGCCCAAGACAAAGACAATTATTTTTATTTTTTCAAACACATTTTTTTGCTCCGGACAGCGATTCATCTTCTCTGGTTTTGCAGAAGTCTCCGTAAAAGAGACAACTCCACCACAAAGGTACAAAGTAGATCTACTCACAATAAGGAAAATACAGATGCCTTTTCTAAAAATCTGTTAAATTGGTCTTACATCAAAAAAATGTGGTTGGCTGCTGGATCTTTTATGTCCTGTTTAAATGTAAATATATATATGCGCATTTTTATATAAACCGATCGCCGCCGTTTCATAAAGCTTTTTCGGCGTGAGAAGAATGTAAAAGTAGATAGAAGCCGTTTTTCGAGGTTTTTTCGGCAGAAGTAGAATTTAAAAAACGATTGTAGTATGCGCTGTTTTTAGAGATTTTTTCAGCGTCAGAAGAAACAAAAAACGTGTTAATTCAAAGAACTGGTTATTTTTGATAAATAGTCTAAGTAATTCGCGTAAGAAATTCAATAATTACATTTATATGTGTGTACATAAAAAGTGGTCAGAATAGTAGGTTTAAGTAGTAAAAATGTTTGTATACTTATTTCTATTAATATTTGTAAATTTTTCAAGTTAAATAGTTCTCACCGCTTTAGACGGACTTACAAAGGTGCCTTCTGCCCTAGTTTCAGATAAGCAGGCAGCGGCGATAGAGTTAATCATTGGCCAAATAAGTGGTCCTGAGTGCAGGAGCTGCGATAAAGTTAACCATTAACCATTCCTGTGTGTGTTATCTTTCTTTTCCTCTGCATGAGAAGGGAGAGCTGTTCCTGGATGTTCCTTGAATATTCAGACGCGGAAAAGATGTTGGTCGACCTCTCGAACAGTCCGGACAAAGAAAATAAGGTAAGCAGACACCTTTTTTAATATGTAAAGTCTGTATGATTGGATACTAGCTAAATTTTGAGCTGTCCCGGAGGTCTGTCCAAATCTCTCTAAATCAAATTTTCTTTGTTGTGTCTTTGTCACGTCTTTGTCCCGTCTTTGTCATGTCTTATGTTGTAGAAAACAGGTTAGCTGTGTGGGTAACCAGTCCCTATAGGAAAAAGGAACCCCTGACGTATCGGGGTCCCTGCCTTTGGAGTAGCCGGGGCAGAGAATAGAGAATAGAAAATAGTTAGTGAAACCATGGTGTAATAATAAAAGCAATAAAAAGGGAAACGTGTTAAGGGGCGTTCACACCGGACTTAACTTCGGCGTCAAAAGCGTCAGGTTTGCATTGAAAGTGAATGGTGAAGCGCGTCAGGTGAAGCCGAGGGGCCCGGCGTCACTTGGCGCGCGTCAAAAGCTTCAAAGGTCGCGCGTAATACGCGCTCACTTGAAGCTTTTGACGCGCGAATCGCTCGCGTATCACAACAATCCCTTTGACGCCGAAGCTGAGCAAAGCTGAGCTTTTGAAGCTTTGACGCGGGCTTCAACCAATCAGGAGACAGGGTCGCTCTACGATGAAGCCGGTGGAAGCGGGAAACAAAATCATATTCGAGAACATGGAGGAGAGCTTAATCGTGGCGATTAGCTCTCGCCCAGAGCTTTACGCTGTTTCCAGCCCGCTATACAGGGACAGGAATAAAAAGGACCTTGCTTGGAGGAGGATAAGCGAGGAGATCGGGTACGATGGTAAGTTATGTAAAGAATTCATATCTGTATTCCATGTTTAGTAAACTCCGGTCAGGAGTCGTACAATGTACAGTCGCTATGATTTCTGTTCCCGCTCACAAGTCCATTTGTTCATATAGAGAAAGAAATCAAAAAGAGGTGGAAAAGCCTGAGGGACAGGTTCATGAGGGAGTGCAGGAAGGAGAAAGAGAGGAGGCGCAGTGGTGCAGCAGCAGCAGGGACAGTGCAGAGGTGGAGGTACTTGGCATCGCTCTCCTTCCTCGAGCCCTACGTAACACCGAGGCCATCTACTGGTAACATGACAGCACACAGGGCCGAGGAGGAGAGGGGGGACAGCCACCTCCAAGAGGAAGAACCAGCAGCAGCGGAGGTGTCAGTTGCAGGAGGTCTGTAGCTAAAACAATGTATTGAATGAAGTCATGCAGCTGCCCACTAAACTGTTTTGTTGTCATTGTTTATAGCAAGGTTATTTATGAGTATTAACGTTCTTAATAAGCAACTGGCAAAATAAATGTACATATGCTGTAAACTAATGTCAGATGTAGGTGTGTAGCTAAAACAATGTATGGAAAGAAGTCATGCAGCTGCCCACTAAACTGTTTTGTTGTCATTGTTTATAGCAAGGTTATTTATGAGTATTAACGTTCTTAATAAGCAACTGGCAAAATAAATGTACATATGCTGTAAACTAATGTCAGATGTAGGTGTGTAGCTAAAACAATGTATGGAAAGAAGTCATGCAGCTGCCCACTAAACTGTTTTGTTGTCATTATTGTTTATAGCAAGGTTATTTATATGAGTATTAACGTTCTTAAAATGATTGTACACGTGCTGTGAAGTGAAAGTAATTTATTTAATAACAGATGACGCTGATACGGAGTCAAGTTCAGAGACAGAGCCGAGTGCTGGACCGTCCTCGGCCTCTGGACCGTTCTCGGCTCCTGGACCGTCCTCGGCTCCTGGACCGTTCTCGGCCTCTGGACCGTCCTCGGCCTCTGGACCGTTCTCGGCTCCTGGACCGTCCTCTGCTGCTGGTTCTTCCTCTGCTGCCGGTCGTTCCCCTGCTGCTGCACCTACAGGTGTGTAGGAAATCAATTTTATTGTTGTGAATGTATAAACGTTATATTAAACATTTCACAAATACTTTTGAATATGTGGGCATCAAAAAGTGAAATATACAAATCGAATACTGTTTTTACATAGGATCTAGTTATTTTATTTAACATAAGAAAAGGATTTAAAAGTTGTTCATAGATTATCAGATCCTACATACTCATGACTTTATATTTTTAAAGCCATTGTCTTGTGGTGTTTGCAGGTCCACAAAGGAAGAGAGCGAGGAAGCGCACCACCCAGGACACCTCCGCCCAGGAGCTATCGCGCTTGGAGCTGGAGCTGATGGCCCTCCTGCGGCAGACTGCAGCTCCAGCTCCATCACGAAATGAGCTCTTCCTCCAATCTCTGCTTCCTCTCCTGGATAAGGTGCCACCTCAATCTTTAGAATTTGTCAAATTCCAAATTCATAAATTACTTTATGAGAGCAGCGCATTTACGCTTAATGTGGAACAATTGGAGCACACTTAGTAGTAGTGTTTAGCTATGAGGTGGCTTCTTTTGCAGGGGAGGAAACAGACTCTTCTCCTTCCTGCACTCCTCCTCCAAGCAAGGTCCTTTTTATTCCTGTTCCTGTTCTTTTTTGTGTATATATTTGTTTTTACATATTTCATTAAAAAATTTATAACTTAAGATTTGGTCTGCTACTTTAAATATGTACAGGTTTTTCATTAAGGTATGTGTTCAAATAAGTTAAATATCACTAATTTCAAATACTTCAATTAAGGAGAACTTTACTCGTAAACACGTTATCACCAAATATGAGACAATAGAAATTAGTTGACATAATTAATTTCAGCATATCCTGTTTGGACAAACTTGTAATTGAGGCCATGCTTGAACATGTTGTGAAGTCGGAGACAGCTGCAGAATCTGGAACTATTACCTGCAAACAAGAAGGGCACAGGTGAATGGTTAAAAAACATACTGGATAAACATAGACATAGACATAGACTAGAATTCATGATCAGGATGTTGTAGTATTTGTGTCCTGATATTCAAAAGTAATGCATTGGCAAATACAGACACTCAAATATTATTAAAGAAGAAATGCTCTTTAGTTTTCATGGGTGGCTCTTAAAAGAACCGTTTTGGGTCAGTCCCGTGAGGATCTGACTACTCTGTCGGCTGCCATGCTACTGCCCCCTCCTCACAGAAGTGGGCCATGAACGCCTCCCTCGCCTGCAGTGCCTCTCTGGTGGCGTTGTTGGCACCCATCCTCCCGACACCTGGAAGACAGTCATCTCCCTGCGCTGCAGCTCCTCTCAGGACTGGGACCGGAGCAGACACCCTCAGGAAATTGTGGAGAACACATGTGGCCTTCACGCACTTCTCCACAACTTCTGGCCGGATCTCGAGGTCCCGACGAAACATCCTCCACTGCGATGACCAAATGCCAAACGCATCCTCCACCACCAGCCGGGCTCGGGAGAGGCGGTAATTAAAAATGCGCTGTCCAGGGTTAGCGCCGCCACTTCCTGGAAAAGGCCGCATTAAGTTCCTCCGCAGTGGGAAGGCCTCATCTGCCACAAAGACATTGGGCAGGGGGCCTCGGTGCTCTGCTCCAGGGAGATGCCGGTCAGCTGGCAGAGGAAGTGTTCCCGCATGCAGAGCCTGACCGAAGGTGGAGTTGGCCAGGATCCCTCCATCGCTGGTTCTGCCATAGCCCCCTACGTCAATCACCCTGAACTTGTAGTTGGCATCTACAATAGCAAGGAGGACCAAGGAGTGCCTACCCTTGTAGTTGAAGTACAGGGAGCCTGAGTTGGGGGGTGCCTTGAGGTTGATGTGCTTCCCATCTATAGCACCACAACAAAGAGGGAAGTTCCACCGCTCCTCAAACTCCATAGCAGACAACCTCCACTCCTCTTCTCCAGGCACAGGCATGAACTCCTCCACCAGGCCGTCCCAGATGGCTGCCACCACATCTGGGATGATGCTGGAGATGGTGGAGATGCCCACCCTGAAGCTGCTTGCTATGGTCCTGAAGGAGTCCCCAGTAGCAAGAAACCTACAATGATACAAATACGACTCAGCAATATACAAAAATATTTTAAATTAATCATACAATATGATTGTGTAAATTTGTTTTCAGGAATTGCACCAACAATGGAAATGTACCCTCTCTTGTGAAATCACAGGGGGGTTAATCACTTGGGAATCTGAATATATTAAGTACTAAGTAGCAGACAATGCTGATTTAATTGATCAGTTTTCTAATAACTTCACTACAGTGACACAATGCACCTTCAAAATGACTTCAAATGCACAAACGAGGGCCATAGCAAATATATCAATTGTATTAATGATTACTCTAAATAAATCGTTATAACAGAGAAAGTCTGTAACAAAAGCCTCCTTGGGTTCACGGGTGTTCAGCGCCGCTCAACACCCGTGGTTAGCCGGTTAGCATTGGAGCTCCGCGCTGGAGGGAAAAAGTCCGACAAAAATTTAAATATCTATTTAATCACCAAACAGACCTCTGATATGACATTAGTGGGGTATATTTCCCGCCTGAAATGTTATTACAATTAACTTTTATGTCCTAATTAAAACGTATATTCAACGTTTAACTACTGCTTTTGGCTGCTCCTCTCTCTCGCTCCGTGATCCATGCTAGGGACGCTATTTCCTATTGTATTTGTAGATATTTTATCAGAAAATTCTCACTAACCTCAGACAGATAGACAGGCGCTCTTCCGCGGGAATCGAGCGCCTGTAGTTGGTGTCCATGCGGGCGATGCGAGCTCCGATGCGGGTGAGCAGGTCATCAAACTGGGCTACTGACATTCGGAAGTACCGCTGAAAGCGAGCCTCGTCCATACGCAGCTCCTGGAGTAAATGGTGAAACTCACCAAACACTGCACGCCTCTGAAGTATGCTGTGAACCCATACACGTTGTGTAGAAGCCCTACGACGACGTTGTATGGATTTTACCAACAAATAAAGGCAAGCTGCTCTTCGGAAATCCGCCATCTTCTCTGGACTACACCGGCAACAGAGAAGCTCCTCCCACCAGCGTCAGGCGCGTCAGGCGCGTCAGGCGCGTCAGTCGCGTCACTCGCGTCAAAAGCTTCAAGCACCAAAATGACAAAAATAACCCGGCGTCAGCTGACGCGCGTCAAAAGCTTTTTGAAGCTTTTGGTCTGAACGCGCCTTTAAAGAGGCCTTTGTTACAAAAGCTTTGAAATTGACGAATTTCAGGCTGATAAATGACAAAAGTATAAACTACAACATCAGTTATATTTGCTTAAAAGTAATCTTGAAAGTTATTCTGATAAGGAATTCTTACTGCTGTATGTCTGTGTGTGTGCGTCTCTCTCTCTCATGCTGCGTTGCCAGGGTAACCGCCCCCACCCTCGCGGCTCTGCTTTCTCTCTGCTCTTCTGCTCTGATTTAAAGGGGACCTACTGCTTTTAGGAGTTTGGCTTTTCATAGTTGTTTTTCCGTTAAATTTGCGAAATTTGCCATTTGAACATTGTGTTATGACACAGTTAAACGTTTTTAAACACCATTTAGTAAAAAGAAGTTTTGAATTAGTATGTTTTTGAAACCCAAAGATTAGTGCTAAAGCTGTGCAATTCTTTTTAAGATCTAACATATTTCTAGATTCCATTCTTTTAAATCTGTTGCTTATTTCTTAACTGTTTGTGAGTTGTGTTTGTTTTTATGTTTTTTATTTTTAGTTACAAAAGCCGTTTTTCAAACATTTAAATTGGAATCTGTGTTAAAAGTTATTATTGATTATAGACTTCGTCTAAAAAAGAAAGAGGGAATTAGTATTATTAAGTTAAACTTCACCCAATTCACATTCAAGTGGTGACTTTTGTTTTTGTTTTGACTACACGCCTGACCTTGTTGCTCCTCCTGCTGATGCACACAGCAGAGGAGACTGGCTCTAAAATGTGCTCCATTTCATATTGACTTCATTTGAAAAATGCTGCAATTATTTTAAATTAGTAAAATATATGCTGAGATAAATGCATAGATAATTAATCACACAGTACAAAAGTATATAATACATGTTTTAAAGTTTAAAAGGTTGTTTGTTTTGAGTATAATTGTTGTTTTGATAACTTCTTTAGTTTCTGGTTTTAAAATGTCAGCATTAGTAAGAGAATAAGTAATCTTTATTTACATAGCGCTTGGGAAAACCCAGAGCGCTCAAATTGTTTTGACTCCAGAGAGAAAAACAATCTCATTCGCATACTGATATCTATTGTTTTTTTAAATTGGCCGTTTCAAGGATTGTTTTTCAGACTCTGCCTCACTGTACGAGAGGTCACTGCTGGACACTGGACAGCGCAAAGCCCACCCAGCCACAGGTCACAGATCAAAGAGCAAAGGGAAATGCCACCTCCTTGCCCCTCCCCACGCCACTGCAGAACTGAGTGGGTGTGAGAGAGACCGGGGCCATGAAAGAGAGGTATCTGGAGACGTGATGGGTGGAGCGTCAGGGAGAGACCTGAATGAGAGTTGAGAGTGTGTCCAGTTGGTTTACATCACCACAGTGTGACCTTTGAGACCTACAGGTGGTCCGAGGAGTCTGGAGACAAAATTCACACACACATACATTCACACACTCACACATTCACATTTACATATAGATACATGAAAAAGCAGAACATGAGAAAAAAAAGCATTTTAAAAGTTTACTCCAATGTAAACACATATTTTTAATTGTCTATCACTTGAATCTTTAGTTGAATCAGTATTTTTTGAGACCAGAAATGTTCATTTGAATTCTATATTGTCATGGACTTAATTGACGTCTGTCCTGACACTTTTGATTTGTTGATTTTGTACTGTGTGAAGTAATTACATTGATGAGGATTAGATCTGATAAAAACACAAATTAGAGAAGTAAACTGCGCTTGCTTTTGTCTAAGGGACATTAGCAACAGCATGAATAGAAATTGTGTTAAAGTAGAATCAAAGTGACTTAACCATAGAGAGTAACTATTGCATAACAAGCTGTGTACAGGAACTGAGACACTGCACCATTGACCAGAAGTGCATCGCAAATGACCTGATGTGCTTCAAGTGAAAAGACTGTATCTGGAGATCTGATGTGCATCTGGAGACCAAAACCATGGCTTGGACCCTACTGATGTCCAAGATGACATCTCTCGAAATATGAACCTGATGAAGACTGAGACTCACCCTCAGGGGACCCTGAGGACCTGAGGATCTGAGAGAGAAAACTGGGGAGTGATGTTTATATTTTTAAAATCATACATTGATGAGTGCTAAATGAGAGAGATACTCATGATGCTTTCTTTTGTTTTTGTTTGTCCTTAGCTTCTGGACATCTGATGATCTATTGGACACAGCCATTTGCAGAACAAGAACCAGCCAATGAAAAACCATCTATTGCCGATGCTATTGCTACAACCAGAACCACAACTGTGACAAATGCAATGAATGTTAAGTATTCAGACATCAGACAGACAAAACTTTGACTTTTTAGTCTGGGAGACTGAGCAACAGTTAAAATGTTTTAAAATGATAAAGTATGAGTATTGTAGCGTTTTAATAGTAGTAAAAAAGTAGAATTGTCCTTCCTTTGTTGTTCATAAACACATTTCCACATAAGAGTTAAAATAGTACCATACAATGTTATCTCTGATAGAGCAGCTAGAATATTAGAATCAGAGTTATTTTAGAGATATTAGAAGTTACAAACTAGAAATATGCCTTGGCTCAAGCTGCAAATGAGCTTTAGAGTCACAATAGAGTAAAAATAGGAATAGATAAATGCATCAACCATAGACGCTTTCAAAAATAGAGAATATTTCTAGCCATTGGTAATATCAAATGGTAAAGGGACCATTCCACAAACCTTTACTTCAAAAGTAGATAAAGTTACTTACAGTTTTATGTACAGTTTTATTAGATACTTGCCAAATTCACTTGTGTTCAAACATCTGTGAATGTTCAATGACAATACAAAAAGTTCATATGAGTGTAGTCTAGATTAATGCCTAGATCAATGAGATAGATTAGAACCAACAGAGATTCAAAAGCATTTAAAAGCATTTTGATGCATTTGGGTATAGCACAAAAACAAAAAGTAGACATTTAGATATTGAGAAGTTTCCAGCACAGATTAGAAAATCAAACACCATTGTAGAATAATAACTGACCCCAACCCCAAACCTGCTAAAATAGATTAGCTCTTGTAAGGAAAGTAATGATTTACATTCATCCCAAACTGCCTGATAGGAGGAAGTGACAGCACTTCCTGGTTCAACAAATGTACTTGGAAAACTGACTGCCATAATAATGTGCCACTGATAAGGAAAGTAAACCACAGAATAGAGAGATTTGTTGGATTGAAATGTATGTTTGAGAATGTGGCTCAATGGAAGCAAATATGCAAACATATTTGTAGGTGGATTGGAATAGTTTTAAACTATAGTGAATAGTAAAAGTAAAGTACACAGTGTAAGATTGAATAGTGAAAATAATACAGTGAAATAAATGAAGTGTAAATAATTAGCATTAGAATAAAAGTATAGAGTAAGAAAAGTGAAATTAGCTTCAAATTTGAGACTCAGTTCGTTTTTGTCTGTGTTTTGACTGAATCTGCTGAGTTCTTGTGTGTCCAATAGAGTTTGTTTTTGTTTGTTTTTATTTTTGATTTAAATATTGATTTGTGATCACATGTGTATGTGATCAAGAGAGGGACTGTGAATATTTAATTATTTTCTGCCTGCTAAAATGTCATGTTAAACAGAGTTCACTTGTACTTTGACCTGCTTACAGAAGCATGGAAACAGATAAGACAGAACAAACAGTAAACATGTGCAGTATGGATGGTGTACGTTGGAGTTTGCTCCATTACAAAACAGTTATATCACAGTTGTACGTTGAAACCATACGTTTACTGCATAGTCATGCTTCTCAGAATCTATGCTTACATAATCATTTACAATGTATATAAGGGGTTAGCCTTTGCCTGCCCACTAGACTTCTGAGGCCAGACAGGATGGGAGGCTGCGTTATGCTTGATCAGAATACGCTCAAACCTTCTGACAATAAAACTATTCGAACTACGCAGTTCGTCCAAGTCTCATTTTTTGTCTTACGTCTGGGATCTTTCACAATTGTCAGTGAAAATTACCTTGTGAATGCACTGCCAGATCTCAGATTTCCTCCGCGATTATCACACAATTCAGTCATGTTTAGAAAATCCAACTCAGGTGCACGCACACGTGAGAAACAGGAAGAGGGTGAAGGGGGTAAACGCATCCCATTGGTTTATTTTTATCGGTCCGCTCCAAAGTATTATTTGTTAATTTTTGGAGACAATAGGCATCTGGTCAATCTCCCTTACTATTTAACTTTGTGTAAGCCCTCAGTCGTACAGGGATTAGTCAAAGCAAAGGAAGGTTTCTCACCCATCATCTGTACTTCTTAGCAGATTTAGGACGAAACGTCGGGAAAACCTGCTAAGAAGTACAGATGATGGGTGAGAAACATTCCTTTGCTTTCACATGATAACTTGACTACTATTAGGGTTTAGGGACGTTTTCCCACAATATTTTTAAAAATGCATCTGGAAAAAATCACTCACTGCATCTTTAATAAAGTGCATCTTTACCTTAACCAAAGAGTTGAACAATCAATGAAAATGTTGTGCAAATCGGACTTTGTATGTGCCAACGGCGGTCATTTACTTTGGCCAATAGCGCCCCCTATGATTTCAATTTTGTTGTCTTATTCCAAAGAACACCAAAATAATACATTATTTACAAGAACAAACCTTGGTGAGTTTTCATGTTAAATGGGTGGAATATGAGATAAAACTATAGAAAAATGAAATACCTTTATCCCCATGTAAAACTTGGATCAGTCTGTAGGTGGCACTGATGCTGCAATTTCATGATTCGAACTTTTAGTTTACTCAAACCCAAGAGTTGAAAAATAAATTCAAAGTTTGTGTAAATCGGACATTGCATGTGCAAATGGTGACATTCATGTTTCACAACAGCGCCCCCTACAAATTCAAGTTAGTGTTACACCAAAGAACACCAAAATAATACACTTCATGCCTGATAAAAACTTCTGGCAAAGTTTGGTGAGTTTTCGTGTTTGTTCAGTGGGTCAAATATGAGATCAAACAATACACAACCTAAATGTCTGTTTCCCCATGTAAGGGGAAACAGACATTTAACCTGTATGGGGCGCTAATGGGCTAAAGCGGCATCTAACGGCCCTCGCCACACCGCGCAAAGGAGGTGGCGCTGACGCGCCATTTTCCTACCCCCCTGATGGGAGCGACACTGCATTTTTACTTCCTATGATCAGTGATTGTGTGTGTCTTTGAAAAGGCACACACAATTCTCCCTCATTCTCCCTCAAACCTCATTCTCCCCATGTAATACTTGACTCAGTCTGTAGGAGGCGCTATTGCTGCAATTTAGTCTTTTACACTTTCAGTTTACCCAAACCCGAGAGTTGAACAATCAATCCAAATTTTGTGCAAATCGGACTTTGTATGTGCAAACGGAAGGCATTTATGTTGTACAACAGCGCCCCCTACAATTTCAATTTTTTAGTGTTATACCAAAGAACACAAAAATAATACACTTAATGCCTGAAAAAAACTTGTGGCAAAGTTTGTTGAGTTTTCATGTTTGTTATGTGGGTCAAATATGAGATCAAACAACAGAAAACCTAAATCTTTATCCCCATGTAAACCTTTATTCAGCCTGTAGGGGGCGCTAATCGGCAAATGTCATTGTTCACACTGTCATGTGACCTAGGCCCAGGAGTTGAACCACTGAGTCAAGTTTAGTGCAAATCAGAGTTTGTGAATGTAGTCCTGTTTAAACATACAATCTGTGAGTGTGTCCACACAGTCTCCATTGGATAACATGGGAACTTCACACCTCTCTATGAAAATAACCACACTTTGGGGGTCTGTCACGCTCAGACCGTTTGACTAATTAAAACTCTATATGCAACTATTGATGGTCAATGTGTTGAAACGATGTGGAGCAATTTTCAGCCATATTAGTGAAACGGCCGAGGCTGGTTTGATGTTTGAGCGAGGTGTACTTTTCAGAGATTTAACGATTTTCTCATAGACACAGACAGGGGAGTGTTGGTCGTCGCCACGGCAACAGGGTAAAAAATAATCATATGTTGTGATTGACTTTTTGAATCCAGATGACAAAACAGAATTATGTGCAAAATTTCAAACATTTTGACAAAACTAAATTTTAAAAAGTCCATATAAAACTTTAACATAGTCTGTAGGGGGCGCTAATGAGCCAATTTCAATATTTCCACTTTCAGATGACCTAGACCCTGGAGCTGAACAATGGATAAAAATTTGGTGCAAATCCGGCTTTGTTTGTGCAAACGGGAGCAAATGTACTTTTGTCAAAAATCCCCAAAAAAATGTCACATTTTGCCGCTCCGCTGCTCGGACAACGTTTAATTGATCCAAATTCTATATTCAATAATAGATGGGACATGGGTTTAGACCATGTGGAGCGATTTTGAGACAAATCGGTGAAGCGGCCGAGGAGGGGATAATTTCCAGCCGACATGTGTGAAAAAGATCAATTTTCATTTTTCCATTTTCCGATTAAATTAATGAGCTTCCTGTTTTTCAGGGGGCGGAGCCATAATAACTTTTTTTTCATGTCTTGACCTGAGGAACATGTGTACCGAATTTCGTTGCTCTACGACAAACTTGATCTCCGACCCGCTCCCATAGGCGCAATGTAAACTGACTTTTGTAGGGGGCGCTGTTCGGCCATTTTTTTTGTCCCATAAAAATAAACACCAAAAAAATAAATTTTTCGCCGGTTCTGAATTTTGGGCAAAATTTCACAACTTTTCATCAATGTTCAGGGGGTCAAATTAAGGTTCAAAGTGCAGAAGAAAAAAGAAAGAAAGAAAGAAATAATAAACCAAACCAAACCAAGGAATTTCTTTTTTTTTAAATCTTCGAGCAAAAACAATATAGGTTTCCATAGTAACCTATAATACAAATGATACGCCGTTTTAAAGCGAACGACGAGGCGAACGCAACTATTGGGTTCTCGGTGATTGACGAGCGCGTCAGCGCTCGTCAATCACCTCGCCATCATGAGGTCACCCACCCCCCCCATAGGACCCCATTCATTACACTGTGTACTACAGAAGGAGCAAAGCCATTCAGTGCCTCCGGCACTGTTTTGTCAGTGTCTGGGCACGCGCCGTCGGGCTTGGGGGACGAATGTCCGGGCTTCGCCCGGACATTCGTCCGTAAGACAGTTGAAGGAACCCCCCTTTAATAGGACTTCAATCATTTCACTGTGTACTACAGCAGGAACAAAGCCATTCCGTGCCTCCGGCACGGATTTATCAGTGTCTGGGCACGTGCCGTCGCGTGCAGGTCACAATCTCCGGGCTGCGCCCGGAGATTGTGACTTATGACAGTTCAACGAGTAATGCCTGGGCATTACTCGTTGGAAAAGCAATAGGCCCTTACCCCGGTTGGGGCTCGGGCCTAATTACACATACTTGGCTTTAGCCACACTCTTGCATCATCCCCAACCAAAGGCTCGTGAGTACAGCGAGGGAACAGGGGGTTTTTATGAATGTGAACATTCTGAACGTGGTTGCCTACAGATGTCCACTTAGCCACAGCCTCGTCACCTGAGGAGGAGGTTGATGCCGACCAATACAGATGGTTCACTACGCTTTTTTTCCATATCTTTACGTCCTCCGTTCCCCTTTTCTTCCCCAGCTCCTCCATTTTTTTCCCGATTCCTGGGACGCCCACCAAAGATAAAATTGTTTTTAAATGATGTACAAAATTAAAAACACACATTACAATTTACAATTACTGAAATACATACCCTTTCCCATGTGCCAAGGATCAAAGTAGTGACTGATATCCGGTCTTTGTTCCCGTAAAAACTTCTGGACGCCCGAGTGTCGGTCAGTCACAATCGCTTGCACTTCAACACCCCTCTCTTCAAGCATTGTCAGACTACGGACAAATCCCTCCTTCTCCATGCGAACACTGTTCCCCACTTCATTACTCTGTCAAGGCAAAAAGATTTATACTTCCAATCGACATGTTAGGAAGTAACTGGTTACGTTCAAATGACATCACTACATTATAAATATTCTTCAATGTAATTGTTGGGCAAATAATATTTCTATAGTAGTAACAGTTCACATTAAAGTATGTTGCGATGTTGTCATTTTTTATTTAAAGAAATCTCCAAACTGAAAAACAAATTGATTTGTAAATGATTATTCATAAACCTTCCAAAGAAACACATCATTTTGAATAGTGCCACAACTTTTGGCCACAATGTTGTGATGTCCTGTGAACGCAACATGTTGTGATGTGATTTACCTGAACAAGCTGAATGTCAATTACCCGGTTAGCTTTGAGATTCATCATTGTGTAGCTCCCGTATTTTGCAGTGTCCTACAATAAGACAATATACACTTAAGCCAACTTTTCACATCTGTCAGAAGCTTGTGGATAAAGAATTACCAGGTGAATCGGCTCGCATATCTCCACCCAGTGTCATAGCCCCACCAGCAACAGCCTCCATGACACGTTCATCCTGCTCAAGCTTCCACTGCCAATTGACTGTTGGGATGAGGAGCTTGGCTTGATGCCTATAAAAACACTGTCTTACACTGACAGACAGTCCCTGAACGTTGAAGGCCCTGAGGAACTATAAAACGTGAACACATGTCATCAACTGATAGATATGGAAACATGATAATAACAAAATAGTATTGCTCTACCTTTGAAACCTGACGAATAGATGAGCCAGTAAACAATACTGCTGCACAGAGCTGTAGGTTTCCAGCGGGAATGTTGTTCACCAGTGGCTGGCTGGACCACTGGTTGAAGTACTCACAATGAGTACACTGCTGCTTCACCCGGAGCAGTGTGCCGACTGTCACGGTGTCAATAATACAATGACGGGTGCTAACAGGACAGCTCCGGAATAGCCCCAGCAGTTGTTCCTCATAAACAATGTACTTATTTTGTTTATGTGGAGGGACTTGTGTGGGAGTTCTATATTGCAAAAGAACAATCAATAAATATAGGCCTTGAAAGCTGAAAAATGTATATGATAACTTAAACAGAATACCAAAAAACTTAGGTAACATCATTTACAGATGCATCCATAAGTTAATTTATTTTTTACCCAGTACAGTTCAGGGAGCTTGCACTTCCATCCAGATGGTAGGTGGGGTCAGAGGCTGACACCTCGCACCTTGGTCTTTTGACCGGTGTGGAGGTTGCCATGGGAGCTTCTGGAAACTGAACCTCCATCAAGGCCTCTGTATTGCAAGACATGGTCCTGCAATGAGGTTGTACCTGGATGGCTGTGTAAAAAACAAAAAGGTTAGTAAATGCACTAGGCAAGAGTTACAGCAAAACTATTCAATTAGCAAAAGCTCCCAACAATTATCACCTTTGCTTCTCCTGGCAGGTGGCCTGGACAGATTCATGCACGCCAAGTAGTGCATCAGTCTGACAGCCAATTTCACGGGTTGATTTTGGCTAAAAACACAGTCAAACACAACATATGATCATAATTCATATTGTGTACGGTCAGGATAATACTCTCTAAACTTGAAAGTCAGCTTTCATTTAGTTTTAAAAATGCAGTTCTGCTAAATGACGTATGCTTCAGTTTTATCGCAGTGGAGTGTGGACAAGGAATAACAGATGATATACTATCTGCTATTTGAACTAAAATTATGTAAGGGTAAAAAATATATGAATTTAAACTTGGATTGATGTACTTGTATTGATAACACGATTAGCAGAAACACGTCAGAAACACTGATATCTGTGAGCACCCTGGTCATCCCTCTCATCAATGACCTGCACCTGTCCAGTCAGTTTAGCCTCAGACACACAGTAAATTGTAGCTCTATGTTAGCTTGTAGATGCTCTCACGTTTCACGCAGCTATTGCTAAATATGAAACGTACAGTCATCACTAAACATATAAGTTTGGTGCGTATTCTCATGCACAGTTGCGCCGTGTCGGCGTAACTTTGTTATTGTTGTGCAGACTGACGCGTTAGCGCGTATATACACACTCACCCTCCATATTCAACAAACCACAATAACCAAAGAGGATTAGCTCACTATGCTGCTCCTACTACAAGCGTATTGCGCAGTGTGGCGATGGCAGCACCATTGCAGGAAGTAGCAATAGCGCACGTCAATTATTGGGCCTTGGTAGTGTGAGACTCGGAAGAGTAGTAGCGCAGGTATTACTTACTACAGGAGGATGCTAACTGCTCGATGCAGTAACAAATATAACAATTAAAAAAAAACACACATAGAAATTATTATATTTTACTTTTCAATCCCCAAATCAAAGCTGTAATTAAATATGTTGACACAACATAGCGAGCTTTATTTTTGCACTTTTACCTGCAGTGTGAATGCCGTTCCCGGTAGCCATGGCTGTTGGAGAGCCAGGGTGGGGAGAGCCAGGGTGGGGACTGCCTCTCTCTTCAAACACGGCTGCTTGGAGAAGCCCATTTCAAGCGCTAATGCGTTGGAGTAGGAATCCCGCGAAAAATGTTTGTCACAAACTCCGGGACGCAAAGGGAGTTCACCTTCGCCCTTGCCAATTGCGCGCAACCACTGGCACCTAATTTCTAAGTCTACTGGAATACCATGTAAACCAGTAGAACTACTACAGCCCACTACAATACACTTCCTCCCCATACTTACTATTAACTATACAATACACTACACAAAACACTACACTAATACTACATAAACAATACAACTAAAGCTCAATGCTAACGGCTATGCTAAACGGAAACTATTCTAACACTAACAATAAAGCTAAAGACTAACTAACGCTATAAAACAACTAGGCCTACTACTAGGGATAAAACTATATTAAATGTAACTAATCTAACTGGCTAAGTATTAAACTAATAACGCAAACCTGATAATCGCTGTGAAAAAACTCGCTCGCTCTGATCCAACTCCAACACGAGAGCCTCTAGGGGAGGGGTCAGCTTTTATACCACAGCGGCAGACTTGGTGACGTATGATGGTACTGTGACGTATGATGGCACCTCCTCTGCCAACCACTAAATTCAAATGTAGTAAGTGCTGTTCAAACGTGAGAGGCGCTGAACAGACGGTTTTGTACACAAAAATTGGATTTTGAACAAGTTTGCACTAAAATGTCAAAATAATGATAAGGACATGTAGACAACACTATTGGACACTCATTTATACAGTTTATCAGGAAAAAAAAGTGGATTTGAGGGTGAGACGTTCTTTAACGGTTTGCTGTAGACGCCATGTTTAGAGGAACAGGACAAACTCATGTTCTGGCCCCGGCTACATCTATGGAGGATTGACCGATCGATTGCTTCTGTCTGATTTACCTGGAAACCAAGCAGGACATTTCAACCAGCAAAAAAAAATGCAAATTTTTATTGGAAACTGAATTTGTGCGCTGACATGCTGCAATACCACCCCGGGCCGATGGGGGTGGACCTGGAATAAGAATTAGCCAAAGCTAACATATAGAATCAGAATCAGAATCATTTTTATTGCCACGTAAGCAACAGGAGGTCACAGACTTGGAAATTGCTTTGGCTCAGTGCAACAGTCAAAAAGAGATAATAAAAATAAGAATAAAAAACACTTCTAAAGAATAAATTTAAATTTACAATATCCAAGTGCACATGGTGCACACCATGTAAGGTGACAGCAGTACAGTGAAGTAAAGTGACGTATGATGGGCAGTAAAGTGACTTTATAAAGGGCGGGGGGACAGGTTAATAAGTGTTCAAGAGTCCAACAGCAGAGGGGAAGAAACTGTTCTTGTGGCAGGAGGTTCTAGTCCTGATGGACCGCAGCCTCCTGTCTGAGGGGAGTGGTTGGAATAGTCCATGTGCAGGTGAGAAGGGAGTGGTTGGAATAGTCCATGTACAGGCGAGAGGGGAGTGGTTGGAATAGTCCATGTGCAGGTGAGAGGGGAGTGGATGGAATAGTCCATGTGCAGGGTGAGAGGGGAGTGGTTGGAATAGTCCATGTGCAGGTGAGAGGGGAGTGGATGGAATAGTCCATGTGCAGGGTGAGAGGGGTCGGCTGTGATACGACCAGCCCGGCCTCGAGCTCGGGCGACGTACAGGTCCTGCAGCGATGGAAGGCTGCGGCCGATCACTTCCTCTGCAGAGCGCACAATGCACTGTAGTCTCTGTTTGTCCCTGACTGTGGCTCCAGCGAACCACACGGTGACGGAGGAGGTGATGGAGGAGGTGATGGAGGAGGAGATGTAGGAGGTGATGGAGGAGGTGAGGATGGACTCGATGATGGCCGTGTAGAACTGCACCAACATCTGTGCAGGCAGCTTGGCTTTCCTGAGCTGCCGCAGGAAGTACATCCTCTGCTGGGCTTTCTTGATGAGGGAGCTGATGGTCGGCTCCCACTTGAGGTCCTGGGTGATGGTGGTGCCCAGGAAACGGAAGGACTCCACAGAGGTGATGGGGGAGTCCATCACGGAGGGTGGGGGCGGGGGGACAGTGCTCTTCCTGAAGTCCACAATCATCTCCACTGTCTTCTGGGCGTTCAGCTCCAGGTTGTTACCACTGCACCAGGACACCAGCCGGTCCACCTCCCTCCTGTAGGACTCATCGTTATTGGAGATGAGTCCAATGAGGGTGGTGTCGTCCGCGAACTTGATCAGCTTCACGGAGTATCTTCTTAGCATCTTCTTAACCTCTGGAAAACGTCTTTACAGGATGGACCAAAAGTTGGCTCTTGGCCCAAAGCTCCGTTCCACATGTGTGTCAATGCTGAGGGAGTGTTCTGGACCAGTCTAGTTTAGTCACTGTGGACTTTAGAAGTCTCTCGTTTAAATGAATGGAGCTCGTGCAGCTGGCGCATGCACAGATGTGTTTTTTCACATTTTTCCGGCCCCCGCGGCTATTTTTAATCACTCCATGAAAGCCCATTATTTGGCCCATTAGTTAGAACGGCGCAGATAGAAGTGACTACATCTGTTAACTCACTGACTGCCAGGCATTTTCAGATTTGAGAAGTGCATTCTGCCAGCAATTTCAGGTGATTTGACCCAACTTTGAAGTGCCACAGAATATTCATTTTCTAGACGATGTAAACACCAAGGGCACCAAATTAAAGATTCACCTCTCTGCTTTACTCTGAAAAAAACAGTTTGTTTCTACCTCTTACCGTTCTTGCGTTATTCGCCATAGAACAAAGCATACTTTCACCCATAACACCTGGTCTGAGCAAGAAAACAGAGAAAACGAGCTGTATGTAAACAGGAACATATCAAGCAGAAAAGAGACTTTTAGATGCATTTTTGCTGCTTTAGTGACAACTCAAAACATCTTCACACTTGTTCCATTACAAAAATTATAAAAACATGACTCTGAAATAATACTTTTGATGGCAAATTGCAATTGCAATTTATTCACAGAAAATTTAACTTTCTTCTATACCATCAACCAAAACGTCAAACAACAACAACACAAAGATCAATAAAACTATAGATGTATAAAATAGAATGAAGCATGTGAATTTGAGTGTGTGTGTGAGTGTGTGTGTGTGAATGTCAGTGTGTGAGTGAGTGTCTGTGTGAGTGAGTGTCTGTGTGAGTGAGTGTCTGTGTGTGTGAATGTCAGTGTGTGAGTGAGTGTCAGTGTGAGTGAGTGTCTGTGTGAGTGAGTGAGTGTCTGTGTGTGTGTGTGTGACTGTCAGTGTGCGAGTGAGTGTCTGTGTGAGTGAGTGAGTGTCTGTGTGTGTGTGTCTGTGTGTGTGAATGTCAGTGTGTGTGAATGTCAGTGTGTGTGAATGTCAGTGTGCGAGTGAGTGTCTGTGTGCGTGAGTGAGTGAGTGAGTGCGTGTGAGTGTTCGTGAGTGTGTCCGATAAATCATGATCAGGTTCTCTGAACGAATCCGAGGCATCAGTAACAACAGCAGCTGATACGCTGCGAGAGGCGGAAGGTGTGTCTCTGCTCTTGCTCCGCGCAAATGTGGCTGCAGAGACGGACCTCCACCGGGGTCTCCACTCTCTCCCCTCTCGACCTCACTCACTGATCCGCGAGTCAATCTCTGAAGCAGTGTCAGCTGCTTATAACTATTCTTTTTCGCCATCACTCTTGCTATACTATCGCTAAACTAGATCACTGATCCGTCTCAATGCTACAGCAGCACGCTCTCCAAACACTCCCACACTCCTCCTCCTTCTCTCCACTGACTTATGACCTCTCCTGTGGTGCAATACTGCATCCTACTGGTGGTGATTTATCATTACAGGTACATTTGCACTATATATCAGTGTTGTGGGTCATTCACAAGGTGCGCCAGACATTACTGTAGCCTCCCGTGTAATAACACGAAAAACTCGTCAAACTCGTCATGGGCAGTGAGCGTTACTATTCAACATGACGAGTTTTGTCGTCATGGGCAGTGAATGAGTTAATATATACAGTCTATAGTCAGGACAGCGGTGTTAGCATGAAGAAGTGTTAGCATGTAGCAGGGTTAGCATGTAGCAGTGTTAGCATGTCATATTGAGAAAAAAAAGGTCTGTTTTTATTTATTGCTCAAGCTAACACTTGCATGCCAACAAACCTTGTAATTTTGTAGTATATTTGACATTTGGTCAATTCCATCACATTTTATATTGAGATTGAATGCAATAATAAGATAAGATAAGATAAGATAAACCTTTATTAGTCTCACAGTGGAGAAATTTCAGTGTCATCGTTGCACATTACAGCAGAGAAAGGAAATAAGAGCACTCAGATTGCACACATTAAAGTCTATTATTTAAGATAATAGGCAATAAATTTAAGATAAAATAAAATAAAATAAAATAAGAAAATCTGGGCTACAATTGCACTTGGTTCGGAGTATTTACAGATGTCTATATTATACATTAGCAGCGGAGAATATGAGAAAATGAGAATAAACATCAGAAATAATATCAACAGGTAAAGTGACTTGAATGGGAGAATTATCAGATGGATATGAATAATACAGTAAGATATCAACAGGTAAAGTGACGGTGAAAGGCAGAATTATCAGATATGAAATAATACAGTAGTACTGATAACAGTAAATATCAGATATGTAGTACTGTAGTAGTACTGATAACAGTAAATATCAGATATGTAGTACTGTAGTAGTACTGATAACAGGTAAAGTGACAAAGTTACTAGTGAATTATCAGAAACACTTGTGCAGACTCAGAAGTTCCTGTTACACATTCTCGTTGTACAGTCTGACAGCAGCAGGAAGGAAAGACTTGCGAAACCTCTCCTTCACACATCGAGGGTGAATTAGTCTGTCACTGAAGCTGCTCTCCAGAGCAGAGAGAGTGTCCTGCAGGGGGTGACACTCATGGTCCAGCATAGATGTTAGTTTGCTCAGGACCCTCCTAATAATAATAAATCTATGTAATACTAATCGTTAAACCACTGCTTTCAATTGAGACTGTATTATTTGCTCGGACAACAGTCTTTAATTTGAACAGTGTGCCTTAAAACCCTATGTATGATTTTTGACTGTACATAGTTCGGTCTGAAACAGTTTTAATTCCAAAATTAAAAAGTGAGTTGGCACAGAAGCTGAAGGCGTCACCTGTGAATGAATGAAAGTTTCAGGTCTTAGTCTTTTTTGTGCTCATGCACTTGGTTATTATTTACTCTTATTTGTAAAAAAAATGTACACGAAGGTGCAAGGGCATCTAGAAGAATGAATCAACAAATGGTCCGGGCCTTGTGTGAACCGAGGGGTCCCGGCTAACGTTACAAACATCTCTGGGATCTCTCGCTAAAACTACAAACACATTGTTATGGCGCCTCATGGAGTATTACTGTAACATTTAGTCCATTGGCCAAATGGACTTTAACATGGCCTCTAAGAAGAAACAGGCTTAAGAAATGGATTTTAAGGTACACGATCGGTGACGCATGAGCATGGTATTAACTATGATGCTAATAGCATCACAGCTACAATTGTTTTGTATTTCATAATTCTTTCAATTTCATAAAAGTTGTGTTTGTTTAAATGTTACAACTGAGACAAGGAGTTATTAGAGTTATAGATTATTTACTGGTAAAAAGAATGAGTCATGTTTTACCTTATGATCTGATGGCTTTTTTACATTCGGACGTCATCGTGCCTTTGTTTACGTGTAAACCATAGACTGTATATATTAACGGACAGAGTCACGCCTATCTCCGCCGTTCTAACTAATGGGCCAAAAAATGTGCTCTACTGGAGCAATCCAAAATGGCCGCGAGTGGTCCCGCCCACAAGAAAATTGTGAAAAAACGCATCTGCGCATGCGTCAGCCGGAGAGAGCTCCATTCATTTGAACGAGAGACTTCAAAAATTCACAGCGACTAAACTAGAGTGGTCCAGAACACCCCCCTCAGCATTGACACACATGTGGAACGGAGCTTTGGGCCAAGAGCCAACTTTTGGTCCATCCTGTAAAGACGTTTTTGAGAGGTCTGCTAACGCTATATATTAGCATTGGCTAATTCTTCTTCTGGGTCCACCTCCATCGGCCCGGGGTGGTATTGCAGCATGTCAGCGCACGACATTTTGGCCACTTTTGAGCTGGGACCCTCCCCACTGGTGTAAACCAGGATTTATTAAAGCTGCACTAACTGACTTTGGGATTTTGAAGCCGCGGACTCGCTGGCCTCGCTCTTTCTGCTCCCCTCCCCGCACCCACGAAGCTATCGCCCCCCACACACACCCACTGTTGGGACGGAGCTAGTGTCTCCCAATATGGATAATACATGGATATGGATTTGCACGTGGATGGCGTGACCATAGAACGATAGAACCGGGAAGAGCGGAGGAACGAGACTTTCTTTTGGATGGCTGTTTTGCTGTGTAAAGCCTGGTTCACACGGCAGGATATTTAGGCCGATTTAGACCCGATTTACCCCTTACGACAATCTTAAGAAACGCTCCGATTTCCGTAACAAAATCTTACAGATTATCCTGCCGTGTGTGGTGTGTTAAGACTGCACTCGTCGCTCGGAAGGACATCGGGACTGCTCCCGATCTCAAATCGGGGATATCCAACATGTTGGATTGTTTTGGCCCGATTTCTTGTCGTGTGTGGTGTCCTCCGAGGACAAGCGAGCGCGTTGCCATGACTACGGCGTGTAGCCAATAAGAAGACGAGGTGACAAGCCGGTGAGGAAACACCGGGAAAAAACCAAAACACAGCAGCATGGCTTTGACCATTGCCTTTTCTTTGGATTACGTGTCTTCTCTGTTAACAACAAACTGCACACTATCGCAACTGCATTCTCTTCGTCCGCCATGACTGTTTACTCTGAAGTCACGCTTGATCTCGAGAGATTTTGTGAGATTTCCGTCTGACCTGGGAATGCTCGGGGGGGGGTGTCGGTTCGTGTGTGATGTTTGTGGCTTGCGTGATCTTGCCGTGTGGCTACGCACCACACACTGCACGACCAAAGTGGTTAGATGCAGGATTTTTAATCTCCCCGTGTGGGGTCTAACACGGAGAAAAATCGGCCGACAATTTTAAAATCGTCTCGTGTGAACCAGGCTTAAGCAGTAACCGGTGACGAAGACACGAAGTTTCAGGTTAGCTCCTCGGCTTGTTGTGCTAACTCAGCTGTCTGTGCTAACAGAGACCTGTAGATTTCTCACGAAAGTGGGGGCTAGTGGTCCGTTGTGATTGGTCACAAT